CCCATTTCAGCGTTTTACCCCCATTTCAGCGTTTTACTCCCATTTCAGCGTTTTACCCCCACATCAGCGTTTTACCCCCATTTCAGCGTTTTACACCCATTTCAGCGTTTTATCCTCATTTCAGCGTTTTATCCCTTTTCAGTTTCCGCTTTCAGTTTCCGCTTTCAGTTTCCGTTTCAGCGTTTTATCCCTACCCGTTCATATATACATATTATGTATACATTTTAGACATTTTAATATTCAGTATTTCTTCGTTGCACAATGTACACGCCTTGCGTCAATTTGACAGTTGACAGTCTATTTATCACAGTCGACGCTGATTGGTTCGCGTTTAGCAGATGCGAAAAGGGGATGATTGAATAAAACGCATGGTTCCGTGCAGGCTCAGAGGTGCAGGCTCACCTTTCTCCCAGTGAGCCTGTTCGCAGGCTAGGCTCAAGGGAACTTGATAGTGGGCCTGCAAGCAAGGCCCGGTATTTTGTACTTTCCGCGTTCGCCCACGAAGGCGGCATTCTGATTGGCTGTTTGCTGTTAGATTCTATAATTAGATAAGTGATTCATCACAAACGCTCTCGATAAGCTTAAAATTCGAAAATTGATCACTTTTTTCGATTATAAATGGAACAAGAACAGACTGTTTATTGTTTACTTGAAGGAAGAGATGTTTTTGCCGTTATGCCAATGGGGATTGCTTGTCGTGAGGTGTTGGAATAGCACTCATTACGACTGGGGTAAACTATAGTAACCTTTACTTGAGTTTCATTAATTTCAAACAGACTTGATAAGTTATATATGTTCCTCAAGAAAATTATCATTTGGTTGATGTTGACTCTGTTCTTGCACTGAAGAAAACGCGGTGAAGATTTAGAGGCAGTTGCATGTAAGCCTATTCGAAACACTTTGCGATTTACAAGGCTTCGCTGAGAGAGCGAAACAGAAGACGGTATTAAATTGCCGTTTGAAACGAAACGATCTGGACTCTGAACGCTCTCTTCTTTTGTAGAGTTCTTTACCAAATGAAATAACTGAAATAAATTTCGTACTTTCCGCCGCCAACAAGAATTGCACACACGATCTGATAAGTGAGACAATTTATTTATAACAATGGCAACAGCGAAGCACACATTATATTATAAATGCTAATGTGGTCGCACGACTTCCCTCACGATTTGAAGTTTGAGACTGGTTTTCTGTTGAAATTCGTCCTAATTTGCCTGTTCCGATTTTAGTTGAAAATGAGCACTTGCAAATTTGGCAATTACTGACTGCGTTGCTTGCTTTTTTGGAGTTAAAACGCAGCCATTTACACATTGCTTTATATGTTCTCAATAAGCAGAGAAAACCCCGCAACATTTTAATGCGAGTTTGTTTGTTAATATTTGGGTGCTGTCATTGGTTCTTTTTTGACAATTGACGCGCGAATGGGGCGTGTTATGAAAAGGGGCGTTTTACAAAATACCGGGCCTTGCTTGCAGGCCCACTATCAGTTCCCTTGGGCCTGCACGCGGGCTAGCATTTGTTGTTCGTCTGGTTATGCGTCCTCAGTATCAAGACGGGCACAAGACGCATTATGCGTCTAGACGAACTATGTTCGATTCTTCGTCTTAAGAGACGCACAACCGATGATAGTTCGTCTAGACGCATAATGCATCTTGTGCCCGTCTTCGGGACGCATAACCAGACGAACAATAAATGCTGATAGTTCGTCGGATTATTCGTCCCGTCTTTATACTAGACAAATAATATAGAAGACAAATTATGCGTCCAGACGCATATAGGTATCAAATTACGTATAATACGTTAAAGCTGTTAAGTCTCGTGTATCAATGTTCTAAAGTGTAAGAAACCTTCATAATTCCAACTGTATAATGTATTCATATTGCTTAGTTTATAGAGGGCGAATTGACGCGGCAATGGCGGCATACGAGTGGTATACATATAAACGTAGTTTTGTAAAGCTATATTTATATGTCAACGATATCAAATCAATCGTATTATCATAAAGGCTCAGGGAATATTATTATTTTTTTTTAATATTGTTTATTTTCGGAGTTACCATTGTTTTATATTTTACTAAAATGCTCAGTGGTTCCCGTAATAATTCTCAGGGAATAGTTTGTGTATTTCGTACAAATACTGTATATTACAAAGTTGTCGTTATAGGACATGTTTTTACTCTGGATGTATAGCGTGTTTCGGGGATATGTGGTAACTAAGCTGTGTTGACCAGCCAAACATGAGGTAAATGTGTTGACCTGGAGCCAATAAAAACTAGCTATTTGCCTACATCTTTTGATTGCGTAATTTATCAGCTTTCCAAGTATATGCGTTTCAGTGGTTGAGTGACTTGAGTCAATGAGTCTCCTAAACAAAAGCAACTCGGGCTACTCAGCGGTAACCTGCCCGAGAGTTGCAATACTTTACCTTGCGATAGTAACTTCTAGTTTTATAAATTCAGTGAGTGCGAACACGTTTGCATTGCTTTATGCAGCTTGCCTCTCGCGCCGAATGATCGATGTGACTGGCCTGAGGTACGCCGCTGTTCTCTCTTTCCCGACTGGAGACGGTGCAGCGTTTATCGAGTTGGGAAGTGATCAATCTCTCATGATGTACTTACCCAGATAAGTACATCATTAGTAGTTTAATGAGGTATGTATCTAGATATATACCTCATTAAAGTATTCATGAGGTATACACCTAGTTAAATAAGTGTACCTCATGAATAGTTTAATCAGTGGTGCCTAAATTACTTTGAATTTGTACTCGAGTAAAAGTAGAAGTAATTAACAATAAAACGACTTGAGTAAGAGTAAAAAGTACTGGAGGCAAAACGTACTTAAGTAAAAAGTACAAAGTATCCTTAAAAAATACTTGAAATACAAAGTAAAAGTAAAAGTACTATTGTCTATAGCGTGTACGGGGGGGGGGGGAGTTCTCCAATGGATTGACATACAAGACACAAAACAGCACACGCATTATATGCGTGCACCATAATACACAATAATTCACGGCATGGTCTACTTTCCAGACCCCGTTGAAGATATGAGAAATCCATTAAATAAATAATGCTTATAAGTAAGCCACAAACGAGAGATCCCAGACGCATGTAGAGGTCCTATTACCTATCCCAACATTAAAATAAATCAGGAATAAATCACGTAAAATTAAAGAAATGTGAGAAAGTAACGAAATACTTCGCCACAAAATGAAAATAACGAAGTAAAACGTTACTTCTCAAAACAACTTCGTTCCAAGTAAAAGTACTCCAGAAAAAATTTACTTTGTTACATGCTGACTTCTCAAAAATTGTACTCAAGGTACAGTAACGAAGTACATTTACTTCGTTACTTGACACCACTGAGTTTAAATGAAGTATGTATCTACAGGGTGTATAAAAAAAGATTGAACAGATTTGAAATTGCTCTCAATTTCGCAAAACAGCTCGTGGTATCAAGCTTTTGTTATATATAGATGCCTTGAGTACCCATAATGTAAAATAAGGGACCGGTCATAAAGTATAGGGGGGGGGGGCTGGAGAAATCAAATCTTCAACTGTATATTTTTCCTTGGCCCACCCCTGGAATAAGGCTTAATTATCAATGGCCCACCCTTAAAGTCATGCACAAAAATTAATGACCCACCCGTTACTAAAAGACAACAACAGGCGGGAAACTCGTGGACACTTTCTATTGGTGATATTTTTTACATGTTTCAAATTCAGTTTCATACATGATTTATTGCTTGGAAAACACCAAAACGTTACATACGACTCTTTTATAATAAAGTAGAATCCAACCCTACAGTGTGTAATCGTTAATTTAACCCTTACAGATCACTTATTATTGCCAAACGCGAGGCCAAACGTCCCTATCCCTGTCATTTAAGCTCCCTTCACCATTTAGGATGCAATCACCTACAGATCTTCTGGAATTTTCGCTTTCAACAAACTTTGTCCTCCGAATATTGACGTTTACATGAAATATCGCGAAGAAATTTATTTAAGAGAAACAAGACATCATCAAAACTAAACATTTTTCAAACTCCCTCAGAAGCGAGTACCACCATTTTGTCCGTTATCTTCAAATTTACAACACGAAATTTCGGTTTGTTAATCACGCATATTTTTAGTCTCCAGTCTCCTTGGTTACCCAGACCTCGTGTGGTGTCCAGGATTCCGTTCACGAGCGCACATCTTTCTGTCTTAACGATGACTCCACAATTTTTGCGCACGCGCAATCGTTCTTTACGGTTGTACAGATCGTGTGATGATGTAATGCCACCATGGGAATGCTTGGCATGTGATGAATATTAAAGCCAAACAAGATTAAAGTATTCAATAAGAGCCGTGTAGCAGGACACATACTACCGACGGATACAACTGCCTTGATCTTTATTACTTTAAGAAATCCTTTCCTATTTATGATAAATATATTCGTTTCATGTATTAAAACATTTTAATGCAAAAGTTAGTAGTGTTTTAACGAGAACGGAACGATTTTATTTAGTATTAACCAACCTAATTAAGTATGCACAAATCGGTTTCCAAGCTCAATGTTATATAGAAGTAAATTGGGACAATAACCGATTCATTCAAGACAAATGTAATATGACAAGGGTTATATCTTCTTTTATAACCCAGTGTTCAAGTTATTACAATCTTACGGTGGGTTGGCGCATGGAACAGCGGGCGATCTGGAGCGCCAATTACTACTGTAAAAAACATGGGAACTCACAAAAGGAGTCATCATAATCCGTTGGCGTTTTTGTTTCGCTTACGATTGCCACTAAATTAAGAGCGCTGCCTGACAAAAGCTCAGACGGATTTTAATATAAAGAATGACAAATTCAATAAGATAAAACGCGGAAGAACGTTAGTAAAATTAGAAGCGATTAATGCTATAATAATGACCACAATATCGTGGGATAAAACTAATTTCGAGCGTCAATGCAAATTGCGAAAAGAGTAGCTGTGTCATGGTCTTAATCGATATTTAAATTTTTGTGTTTTTGAGAGATACTTGGCTCCGTAACTATGACTATGTTTTTTACACTAGCTACCTCCTGAAATAAAGTTAAAAAATTTTAAGCATTATTAATCTTCGGTTAAGCAAATGGTCCAATAATATGTGCTTATCGGATCACGTGCTGGCGTTTTACACCTCAATTCCCCATGTTTAAAAGCCATCCCAGCAGAAATATGGTTCTATTCATTAACACAAGTAAAATGTTAATTAACATGATATTTTATACAAAGAATGTTAATCAGGCCAAACCAGGGGGGCGGGGGACCAGAATACCAATACACTCGATAGTATATACTCTTTTTATGTGGTCTCATAGCTTGTGAAAGTTTTGAAGCTCGCGTGTGAAAATCTTTCACGCTCGCGTGTGCATTTACGAGTCTACTTTGTTTATTATAACAAGGTAACAAGTTTAGCAAGATTTTTAACTGAAATTTAATCTACATCATTTCAAACACTGGTAATTTAATTATATGCTCCCAAAGTTTCAACTTCAACAGTTCATTCTAAAGATGTTAAAAAAGCCAATTCTTTTCGGGGTTTTGTCAAAAATTGTCAGAACAATAGCACTGGGATCACCTACCCTGTGGTGATGTCATATTTTTTTAAACTTGAAGAAGCGCTGATTGGCTGTTAGTGTTGGGCATGCACGGCGTTTCGATTCGGGTACTCTAGGAAATTAAAAGACAATAAAATGGCAGCCATCTTGGTGTTAAATTAAAAATGAAAGGTAATGAATTATTTATTACCCTGGTTCCAGAGGTTTAAAATAAACCTCTGGTTGAAAGCGGCAATTGATTCATCGAGCCGCGCCAATCAGTTTGAATTAGGGTCAGATCCTGACTCTGTCTCCTGATTGGATGATTGTATTAAAGCTCTGTGATTGGTTGTAGATGTTTTATTTGAATCAATCAGAGAGCTTTAATCCAATCATCCAATCAGGAGACAGAGTCAGGATCTGACCCTAATTCAAACTGATTGGCGCGGCTCGATGAATCAATTGCCGCTTTCAACCAGAGGTTTATTTTTCCTCTCCCCTTCGCAATGAAAATAATAAAAATAAACCTCTGGAACCAGGGTAATTATTTATAGTTAAAATACCAACAATATGCAAGCCGCCGTGACGTATATAACCCAGTGACAGTGTTTATGCCTCGTGATTTTCTCGCGAGATCAGTTTAGGGAACGAGCTTGCCGTTTTAATGCAAAAAAACCCTAAAAGTATAAAGTCTACTACGAAGTTTCACCTGAGTAAATGCATTAATAGAAAGTTTTCAGCGCTGTTAATTAAAAAACTTTTTTTTGAAAATTTTAAGCCGGGTTTCAAGAATACATATTCATGTTGGCGGTTGACCGCGCTCTTCGCATGCGTGAAAAGATTGGGACTGGCCTTGAAGTTTGGCTTCAAATTTCCGGTAACGTTCCAGATATATTTATCTCACTGGTACTGAACCCGCAATCACTGGTCACTGATCTCAAAATAGGACTCGACACAGCGTCCGCTATGCATAAATTAGGCCAAAAGCGGTCTTATTAGTTTGAGCACTGCGAATCTACTGTGGAATTGCTGACATATTAGAGTACTTTATACCCATATAGAATACTTTATACCCATCTTCCAATCTATTTAACAATACAATTCTGTATACCAAAAGTAAAATGGTCTAAATACTGATATTATTACTTCAAGTAATAATAATTACTTCAGTGAAGCCTGCCCGGGTCTGACTGAACGTGCCATTTATATAGAATTCTACGCTATAGGTGGTGTACAGGCAACCTCGTTCCCAGGCTCTTGGTGTACAAGTTACGTCATGACCGTCGCCATGTTGGATGGCATTGACAAAGGATTTCATCCAACATGGCGAATATCTCTTTGTCCTTTGAATCCCATGGGAGTGGTTGCACATCAACTATTTAGTAATTCCAAAACATTTGACCCAACTTTACGCCAAAGGCAAAGTTAACTGACACATACGAGGTCAAACTGAATATAGCCGAACAAATTCAAAACCAAATGCATACCGCAGAAACGAGTTTTAAAACTGAAGATTTTCAGCTAGTGAGACTATAAAGATAGTCATAAAAATGGCGTACTAACCATGGCATGGCTGATCACGAGTTTTAAAAACAGAGTTTTTGACTACATACCAAGCCTGAGGAACTATTAAACGCCATCATATTTAGGAAAGGTACAACACTGTGCAGTACTTTACAGTACTCGATATTGATAAATACTGACGAGAGTTTCAAAAGCTCGCTCGTATATATTTGCCCGCCAACTCTCATCGACTCTCATCAACTTTGAGCTGGTTCAAATTTTGATTTGAGTTGACGAGCGTTTTTGCTAGTTTAACTTGAAATATCCAGCCAAGTCTCATTAACTCTCATGCAACTCGTGTTCTCGTTTGACTCGCTTGCCAACGCTCTCATCCTCGTTTGACCGGAGCTTAAAGCTGTCTGAAAAGGCGGTCCGAACTGAAGGAATGAACTATATATATCTTACTCACATACCATTGCACTTCGTTTGAAGTCCTGTGCTGTTAAAATCCACTCATTTTGGTGTTTTACATTTCTTCCTCGCTGTTCAAATTTCTCTTTCAGATACTTGGAATATTCCACCCCAAAGCTTGCATGGCTCATGCAACTCTAAACTGTCTGGCGGCTTACATGAACATATCCACTATGCATGAGGCAGTAATTTGCATGTTGAACAAAATGAGGTGGGTGTATTAATCTAAAATTTATAATTACTATTGTTTGGCAGCTAATCCAAACATGTTCTCTGGACACTAGTGAATTTGGCAACTCACAAAGACATATAAAATTACTTAATTTTCGTATTCGAGCCAAAGTATAATTACTAAACTTTATCAGTGGCCTTATTTGCCTATAGTCAGTGAATTGACATAAAACACCTCATACGACTAGTTATAAGCGGTGAAAATGTTGTAAATAACGTAGTTTGAATAACTATACGCGGCGTGCCATGAATTATACCATTGTCAAGGGAATGCAATTTATACAGGGGTGTCCCAAAAAAACTGCAAACTATTGAAATAACGTATTGTTAGAATTTGAATGCCTGAGCACTCTGCTGAACACACAAGTGCATAAAAGCTTGACATAAGTAAATTTTATGCATAAAGAAACTGTTTAAGAAGCTGCTTTAAATTCCCCAAAGCAGAAAATCGTGCGCTTTACAAAGATATTTTAATTTGTTAACAGTCAATATTTATAATATATGCACCCTTTTCAATATTTTACGCATATTTGCGTTCAGCTTAGTGCTAGGGCATTCAAATTCTAACCAATCTAACGTTTTTTCAATAGTTTGCCGTTTTTTTTGGACACCCTGTAGTTATCTTGTCTTAGAGTGCGTTGCCGTTGTTAGTTTCCAAATACCCTATACTGTAGAGCGTTTGCACTCATTTCCCAGGGGCCAACTCAACAAAATGGGATTGCTAATGTGGGAGCCCGAGCCTTTCATTTGCGAGCCTTTATTTTATAAATTATAATACCGAGCCTATATATTTTTATAAAATGTAACCAATTTTGCGATGGATGATTTTATTGCGATGGATGATCATATTAATGATGAAGGTAAATCAACAATTAATCTTTTCCTTTTTATCTGTCTATCGATGTGAAAGAAACAAATATAGAATTGCAAGTGATTGTACTCCTGACCACCCCTGGTCAAATTCAGAATGACGATTTTCTAAGGAAAAAGTGGCGACATGATTTGTTACAAGTGCGCATTCTATATCTATTATTTATGTGGTTACCATGCAGTCGATACTGACGTTTTCATCCAGTCCAAACCCGATGAAGATGTAGTAGCGACAGCTAGAGAACAAGTGGAAACCAGGCATAGTATTACCTGTGGTATTACTAACGGGGGCCATTGAATGCTGGTTAACTTTTATTATGAATTAATTTTGGCCAGTTCTCCGCAATTTTGAGGCGAGTTAAAATCTGCAGTATATAGAAACTGATATTTCGAAACTTACAGCAAGATTGCTTTGCTATAGAGCCGGGGTAAACATGATAGTCTTATATCTGATGGCAAGTACGTAAATTTCCAAGAAAAAACAATTCGTTATTTCTGAAATTAGTTTAGTTCCAGAAACCTCAAATGCACATGTTGCGAGACATGATTAAAACGCATGCATGCAGTCATTTTTAAATAACGATACCGCCTGATAGGATGTGCTTCTTTGAAACTCTTATCGTGCTTTAAAAATTACATCATAAAATCATAAAAAAATCTCAAATTGAGAAATTGTTTAATTAAAACTACCATGCCACCTGATCGCTTTCTCGTAGAAGAATTTCACCCCGTGTTTACAAGCGACTTTCAGGCCGATGGGCGCCATCGCCGAAACAAAGCACCCAGGCTTAGCTATATAACAGAACGAACCTGAAATCATACTTTCGCGGGAAGTTTCAAAGTTGTAACTAACAGAAACGATAACAGAGACCTTTAAGATCGAAATCCGCCAGGAAAATTCCATTTACAAATTATATTGGTATAAGCCAATAAAGCAACAATACTCATCCCGGGCATGCGAGCCAGCAGGCGGCTTAGGATGGACGAAAACTGCCCACCGTAATTTATTCGCGATTGTCGCAGAAATCGGCCACTGTCGATTCTTCGCCGAATTCATCCGCGACTGTCGCAATAAATAAATTTTTGTTGCAACAGTCAGCGGTAATCGCGACAATAAAAGAAATAAAAACACTATTCAGGAGTCGTCGGCGACATTGTCGGCCGACTAATGAAAACCAGCGTCAAATGCATCCATGTGTGTGCTATCACACTATCGTGCATCTGAGCAATTAAGGTCAATAAATTAAATATAATTAACATTACGATAACTAAGGGTGGTCTTTTAACCACTAACGAAATGCTCTACTTCGTGAAACACACCTATATATTTTTAAATTTACACTCTTCAAGATCAAAACCTTTCAGAAGCAAAACAACTGCGACATTATCAGTTTCTGCACCCGCAATCAAAACACTCTTGAGCAAACGTTTGCTAAGTAAGCGCGCGATCTCACGTCTCGTATAAGACGAGTCTGTATTGTAATGATTAAGGAGTTTAGATAATTCTTGTAAATCGTCATCGTCTTGTTCGGATTCTGTGAAATAACATTTCTTAGATATGTTCGCTGTCTCATCTTCCTCCAAGACAGGCTCTTCTTCTACGATTGTTGCGCGCCTGATCACAATGGTTGGGTTATCCGGGTTCCACTTCACAAACTGCGGTACGCGTGAGTCGATAGGATTCACATTTTGTTTTCTAAGGTAAGCCCGATATTCAGAATCAAGATGGACACTTGGTATACCCAGAAAACCCAGACCTTCTGGAGTTTTCGCCCTCAACAAACATTCCTCCGAGTATTGACGTTTACATGAAGCATCTCTAAGGAATTTATTTAACAGAAACAAGACATCATCGTAACTAAAAATTTTCCAAACTCCCTCAGAAGCGAGTACCACCATTTTGTCCGTTATCTTCAAATTTACAACACGGAATTTCGGTTTGTTAATCACGCATATTTTTAGTCTCCAGTCTCCTTGGTTACCCAGACCTCGTGTGGTGTCCAGGACTCCGTTCACAAGCGCGCATCTTTCTGTCTTGACGATGACTCCACAATTCCTGCGCACGCGCAATCGTTCTTTACGGTTGTACAGATCGTGTGATGATGTAATGCCACGTATTGTGTTGTTTTCTCGGATCAGAAATCCTTTCACATTTCCCACGTTTGCAACATAAAGTATCTCATTGACAAGTAGACACGTCACTGCTGAGCAACCGCTCCATCGTTTCCAGGGATGTTCGCCTTCTCCGATCAGTTGAATTTTATCAATCTTCCGATATGCTTCTTGAAAAGCTGACTTGATAATCTCGGGATTCTCACCAATATCTGAGAAATGATGTAGATGCTCCTTAACTTCCTTGTGAAGCTCACGTGCACACAGATTAGCAACATAACTACCATTGTATCCTTGGTATATACCAAAAAACAATCCCCGGTTTTCAAGGAAATTATCGATATGAACAGTCTTTGTCGCAGACAAACCACGCCCAGGTGTTCGATATTTACTGATACCAAGCAGTAGACCAGAGTTGAATGTCTTTCCTTCTGTTCTAATGTCTTTTTCTAAAATCGAAATCAGAAGAAAACAAAATAAAACACAGAAATACTACTCAAATCATGTTCAAAAGTTGTTGCGACACTTTAGGTTTTAGATCATCAGTGGGATCATGGTTATATGCAAATTATTACAAACTTTATATCACACAACAAAGTAAGATGTTAAACTGGGGGGGGAGGGCGGATGAAAGCTTGTATCAGGAGAAAACGTCCATCGTTCTACGATTTTTGGCCAAGATAGCAGGTAATGTTGGAGGCGATTGTAGTGTCGACAGTTTGCGCATGAGAACAGCGCTAGCATGCCCCGATCGAACGAAAACAAGAGTTGCATTAGAGTTGACTTGATAATATCGCGAGCGTGACAAAAACTCTCATCAATTTGAACGAGATCAAAGTTTATAACAGTTAAAGAGATTGCATGAATGGCAGTCCAACGCGAGCGACAGTTGCAACTCTAATCACCTCCCATCCTCGTTTGACCGAGGCTTTAGTGAGTTTCTCACCTCTCCAACGCAAAGTGTTGATCACATGTTCTTCCCGTCTTTCCACTTCACATTTCAAAATTTCAAACGCGATATTTATCTTTTGTGTAAAATAGAAAACGTCCGCCTGGTCAAAATCTCTTCTCTCAACCAGATCAGTCACTGTTTTATTTCTCCTGCGAAGTAGACCTCGCATTGTCTTCGGTGGAAAGTCTAAAGTTAACAAAAACAGAATCTTTGTACGTTTGTGATTAAAGATGATGTTCACTCCTGTGCACAGGCGCGAACTTTGTTTACGTTTTGAACTGCTATATTTGTAAAATCTGTATAAATATTAGGGATGAACCGATTAATCGGTAAATAATCGGCAAAGCCGATTAATCGGCCGTTTTTTAAATAATCGGTAATCGGCCGATTATTGCCTGATAATCGGCCATAAGACTTTTTCTGCAACTGCCGATCACATGCTAAAATACTGAATACAAGCGAATAGATTTTCACATTTTGTTGCAAAACCTGTGTCTTTTGTCTCAAGCGAAGTGAAGCTGGGAACATTTCCACTAAAAAAAGGCAGCAGACTAGCTCCGCATAGCTGACAGTGCCTTGTTTTTACATCATAATCTGCCAAAACTAAACTTTGACTATTGACATGAGAGACTGAAGCTGTTTTAAATTGTACAAAGTGTGTATTGTAAACAATAAAACCGCATTTACAACTTCATTGTTGGTCATCTTGTGATTTTTCGCTTGCTTTTGAAAATAATCGGTTGATACCGATTAATCGGCCGATTAGTTACAATAATCGGCTTATACATAATCGGCCCCAGTAATCGGCAATTTTCCTTATCGGCTCATCCCTAATAAATATGATATACTAACTGAATATCTAACACTTTTCTGGTTCGCTACACTTGTAAATGAACATAAACTGTACGTTTCAATTGAAAAAAGTTCGAAAGATGCAAAATTTGGGCAATGTTTATATGTGGGGGTCCCCCTTTGTTATGAGCAGAACTGATGCGCAGAACGGAGTGGATATCACCTTTAAAATTGCATCCAAAAAAGTCAAATTCTATTTTAAAAATTAAGAATTTGTATAGCTGTTTCTATAATTGCATGACGATGACAGTGAGTTACCGACAAAACGCCCGCATGACAAAAACCCCGCCAATAAAATCCCGACAAAATCTCCGCCAACAAAGTTCCCGACGACAAAATCTCCGCCAGCAAAACCAAATGACTGAGTTCAAACGATTTTTTATAGTATGATTTACTCACAGTTTCTGTTGGAAACGAAGGAACTACAGGAACGATTAAAGAAACCTGTGCGTCGATTTCAGAGATGGACACAAGACGTCGGAGCAAATGCTGCGTGACGTAGGGGACAACATTCGAATTTGTTAGTCACAAGAACACTAACTTTATATATATAATACTTTTCTTTGCTCATATTTATTTTAAAAGTATTTCCACTTTTTCTATACAACCAGGCAGTATATACTCTTCCCATTTATCGCTTCTCTCCTTCTTCATTCACTGTATTTTTATACTGTCTAATAACTTGTAAATAACACTAGTTTCTTTGTACTGATGGTTCTTAGTTCCGTGTTTAAATAAAGTTTATGTATGTATGTATGCATGTATGTATGTACAAATTATATTGTTTCCTCTGATAAACAAACTTAAAAATTAATGAACAAAATGACCTATGCCTATAACTGATACATGGCAAATTTGAACTTTGCTCTTGAATCTAGGACTAGCAAACACAAATTACACCGGGTTTCTGTTCGAATTCAGTAATTTGGGATTTTTTCGTGTCTGTGGGGTTTTTGTTGGAGGGTTTTTGTCATGGATTCTAATAACAGCATAGCTTCATTTGGGTTTTCGAAATGATTATGCAAAATGCCGTATAAACCACTTTCGTTCTGGATAAAGATTTAAATATTCGTTAGTTTGGATCTTAATACGATTTCTTCGGTTCGTCTCTGCAACTTAAAGTAGGCAGACTAAGTGATAATCGAGCTGCCTAAGACACTCATACATGATTGTGCCGAAGGCTTATTCAGGTGCTTCTGGCTGCCATCAAAATAATCCATGTCTGATCATAAGCACATGGGTTATAGTGTTGGGTAAGCGAGGAAAATCGGAATACCCTTCAGAATCTTCTAAACAGAGCAGACAAGTTGAAAGAACCAACCACAACTGTACTTACACGAGTGTACCTAAGCCATTATCCCCAACGAATATTTAAATGTGTTTACTTTAGAGCCTGAACAAAGTGAAAACGGCTTGTTATTAAATTTAAGATTTTGCACATAGCGGATCGAAGACACGAAGTTGAACAACTGTTTTGTTCATAACGGATCGATCTAGATTTACAAACACTTTCTTTACTATAGAATAAAATGTCTTCGGGAAGTTGTCGGCGGGAAACGGTCTCTACAATCAGAAATCTAAGCAAATACCTGGCGAATATTTCAGAATATCCAACGCTTCATGCCGTCTTCGATGTTGAATCAAATATCGAACAGAGACTTCATTTCTGCATTTTCTACAGAATACAACAACGTTGCCATAACGTAACGGTTGCGCTGACGTCAGCCCAAACCTTGAGATAGTAGCAGACGATAACATACGTTCACTAATATTATCAGGTCGTGGTGTAGGACACATTGTTGTAGCTTGATCACTATCAGTATCTCGTGATTGTTCGGTGCTGTCATCGTTAAGTTCCAGTTCATAGACATTGATTGTAATCCCAGTCTGGTCAGCATCAGTTGAACTGCGGATCTCAGACTCTCGCTTGGCTCTGAAATATTTCGGTAAGAATGGCAACTCTTTTAGAAAGCGCGAAAAAGACGACATACTGCGTTTCCTCAGTACAAAATAGTGGTTATTAATCAACTAAACTGTCAAAAAGTTAAAAGTAAATATTGACATTTCACATTTGTTTGTATACTTGCTGGGTTCTGAAATATTTAAAGGCTAAAATGCCGTCTCAAAAATTTCGGCTTTTCCCTAAATGGATATTATGACTTTACTCATTTATTTTTCACTTATCAAGTAGTTACGTTTCATTGGATGTTGATTCTTTTCGTTGTACCCAAGAGAGGGTATTAACAAAAATAATTGATTGGTTACTTAAGATGAAATGAAAAATTAAAGTGTTTGGATAAGAATTTAAAACAAATGAAATAATATCGTGTGTGTTTACTTAGTTTTAAAATTAATTTCGTCTACTTAGTGAATGACTTGCATTCATGATTGATAATCGTAATTACATACGAAGCAAGTTCAAACTATGCTTACCCAGATTCCATTTCGTGCAGCAATTTGGATGACTTGAGTTACCCATAAATTTGGGAACTGTTTCTTGCGCTGTAATTGGTTTTAATTTGTTCTAATTGCTTGCGTGTCTTAATTATGTGACGTCATTAACTACCTCACGATCTCAATTTGACATGCGCGATGTCGAGGGCTATAACTAGACTACACTATCCCACAAAAAAGTGCCTCCCTCAGAAATCCCGGTTAAGTCAAAGGGATAAATGGCTATCATACACCCTTTTCATAAATGGCTGCCGATTAAAAATTCTTTTTATATGCATATAAATTGGCCCAACTAGCCTCGTACTCATGTTAATATTTCAAAGGAATTTCTACCCAGAAACGAGGCTAGTTGGGCCAATTTATATGCACATAAAAGAATTTTTAATCGGCAGCCATTTATGAAAAGGGTGTATGGGACGGCAACAGTTCAGCTAAGTCAAAATGAAATGGCCGCTGTGTGATGGCATTACTTCAGTAAGTAACAATGAAACCGCTGCTTTGTTAAGTTAAAATGAAACACCACAGCATTTGTCAAGTTAAAATGAAAGGCTTCTGAGTTCTGTGTGCCGGCATTTGCTAAGTTAAGGCAAACAAAATGGCTGCTGTGTGATGCAGTATATACATTGTTAATTTGCTAATTGATGTGGATATCCGTTTATTACGCTCAGTAATTGGAATTAGCGCAAAACATCCGAAGCGACGAAACCGAGATTTGCAAGAATATATAGACCACACAAAAGACTGGGGACGAGTGAACTCTTGAGAAAGCCAAGCAGTGTCGAGAATAGTATGCTGCCGAAAGCTGCACAATTATGGTTAATTTTGTTGAGAAACGTTTCAAGAAGCGTTCACATTCCGAGTTGCGGGAATGTCTTCAATTTTAGCTAATTCATTAAGGGAAGCAGTAAACAATAAAGTCTGTATGCACTCTCATTTACGTTTGACTCAAACATTGGCTTGCAAATATTTTTTGTGGTAGATTTTGAGACGTTCAATTTCGAGTTTATGCGAAGATATTCGAGTTCAAGGAAGATAACGGACCATTCCCCAATTAACCAAAATTTTGAACTCAACAAGTCTAGACAAAACTTTCATCACAGCTTGAAAGAGCATCACAACATTAGTAATATTCCAATGTTTCGTTGCAAAAAGTTGTAAAATGCGGATAATATAGCATTGCGAAGATTGCAATTTTCAGTCATTTTAGATTACAAACGGGAAACAGTTACCACTTCTGTGCGTAATGCAAAATGACTGAAAATTGCAAACTTCGCAAGGCTATATTATCCGCATTTTACAACATTTTGCAACGAAACTTTGGCATATTATTAATTTTGTGATGCTCTTTCAAGCTGCGATGAAATTTTTGTTTAAGCTAGTTAAGATGAAAATTTTGGAAACGTGGTAACCATTTCCCGTTTGTAATCTAAAATGACTGAAAATTTCAAATTTCGCAAGGCTATATTATCCACATTTTACAACATTTCGCAACGAAACTTTGGAATATTACTAATTTCGTGATGCTCTTTCATGCTATGATGGAATTTTTTCGAGACTTGTTGAGATTTTGGTTAATTGGGGAATGGTCCATTGATGTGACCCGGTTTTGGATTCACTTTTGGACAAAAGAGTGCATGGCACAGCCCTAAACTTGAAATAATGCTCGGACATCGGACATTTTCCGACCATGCAAATACAGTTTTCCGATCAAATGGTAAATTGGTCGGACATTTTGTCGGACAAAAATAGCAATTAGTTTTTTTGAAAGATTGAGTTAACCACCCCGCAAAGACTATATAACTGTTAAAATTTAATTCATTTTGGTGGGACATTTCTTCAGGACAGTTATTAAATGCTATTAGAGGCTTTGCAGCCCAGTCCAAAACAGATCTGTATTTATATTGTATTTATTTGCTTTATGGGCATGACCTTACGTACAGAGATTGCTAAGGCTTTACATATGTGCTATCAACTATCGACTATAACTACAACGTGCTATTCACAAAAAATATAAAACTAAATTAAATAGTGTGGAAATAGACTGATATTAGCATAGGCTTACCGGGCAGGGGCAGCCGCCCTCCAGTCAAAATGAAGTTGAGCAAATTATAAACCTAAGTAAGGCAAAAAGATGAGGCAAATAACTTTAAAAAGAAAAAATATGCGCTATAATAGTTGAAAATGCAAGAAATATACAAAAGTTATGAGAAATTGTAACAGATGCCGACCCCCCCCTGTCGACAACAATTTTGGAAAGTTTACACGGAAAATTGTTTTTGGTAAGTCTGACACAATGGGAAAAAGTCAGGTAGATTTCTTTCTGCCCCTCCCCCCTAATTTTCCCCTCCCGTACGCTTATGCAAATTAGTTAATCATCGACATTCCTGCTTTCAAGGCGTTTATGTCTTTCGGTAAAACAAGAGTATAACAAACTTTGATAATAAAATCCTTTCATTTTCGTTTGATTTTATTATTCTGATAAATTTTGTTCTCTTTGGCAGAACATTTTGTAGGCTGTTGAAAAAGTTTTCTCTCATGCTGCCGTATGCTTCACATGATGTGAGAAGTGCAATTCATTTGCTACTTTGTACCATGTGGGGGTCAGTAGTGACCGCGGCGTTGAATATAAACCTTTGCGGAAAATTTTTCGACGGCCACTCAATTCAAATCTTTTCTGATGTGCAGAAGTTCTCCACAAAGGTTTATATTCAACTGTACGGTCAACGCTGGACTCAATAGTTTCAGTGAGATTTTATCATTGGATTTATCAGCGACATTGGTCAACCTTGTTAGCTCGTGAACTACGGAGCAAAATGGTAAGTTTATTCTCATTACTAAGGGTGTCCCGACAAAATTGCAATAGCAATTTATTAGCGGGCAACGAAAAGTCTAATCCATGAGATGAATTTTGACACCAAGACTATTAAAATTGGTCCAGTAGAATCAATCTTATGGCTGTTTTAAAATAAAAGTTCGGTTCACCCGACGAACCATTGAAATCATGCATCAGTTGTGTTAAAGGTTTGATGATCTTATACCATTTCCTGCACTTTCTGTCGCAAAATTGGAAAACGTTTACAGCAAAAATATTGAAAAAATTTGTTTCATGTTCGGTTTTTTGTTAGTTCGAATGATTTGCTGAAGAGCTCAACGCGCTATAATAGCCAGCAAATAAAGCATAATTAAACTCAAGAGTTGACGGAGCTACTTATAGATAGAAAAGAGCTCACAGTGTTGAAAAAAGAGAGGCTAGGGGGGCTAACCTCCTTGCGCAAAAATTTTGTGGGACCAAGTTCCCCCCAGGATCCCTGGACACCTGCAACCTTCAATATTCGTGAAATACCTGGGGTGTAAGAAAATATTCATTCCAATTCTATTTCAAATATTCATATTCTTACTATGAATATTCATATTCCTACCCCACTCTCCTCCGCAGAGTCTGAATTATTTAGGATTTGTAGGGATAGTAAAGGATATTTAGTGGTGCGCGACGGGGGGGGGTGAGATCGATGGTTGACAAAATGTAATCAAGACTCTGCCATATAATGCGCGTTTCTCGGGTCGATTCTGCGGTTCTCGGGTATGGCTGAAATATAGCCTGCTCGCAGGCCGTTGTCAGGCAGAGGCTGCATGGGAGGTACGGCCTGCGACCTTTATTAGTAAAAAGTCGATTTATGCGTACGGAGCGTACGCAAAATTCCCATTGGTCAGAAGTGCCCCATGAGTTAATATCGTGCAAATATTTTACTCGTACGACATTTCGCAATGTAATTTTAAAGCTGGCATTCAATCAGTGGCGTATAAAACCATGACTTTGTTTATCTCTTCGAAGAAGTAACTGAATGTATTTGAGAAACCTTTCAATTTAAATTAACGTTGAAGGATGAGCGAAGGTTAGCAATATTAACTGTACTTCCAACGGGATTTGATAAAAGTTTACATGTAATATACCGATACTTTGTCTTCGTCAGCTATAATACAGTAATAAACCTTTTCCAAAGAAGTACAAGGGAAAACTTCGACGTATGCCTTGCTGATCTTTGCAGAGAGAGTAAAATAAATCTAGTTCAAGCTGACAATTTATCGAACCGCGTTTGCATCACTTGCGGTTTCAAACGTTGAACAGCCCAGCGAGACGTTCGTTGAGACACAGGCAGTGAATCAGCTAGTATAAAGCAGTTGATTGTCAAATGCCTCCGAACATTTCTCCCAAATACTTCCCTGTCAACCCAAGGCTTTCTGCCTAAACAATCTGGTCTTGAATAAGTCAAGACAATGGGCAAATTATTAAAACAGACGCCGTCGAGGAAAGTCGTTCTTAGAACACCGGGTAGGGATAAAACGCTGAAACGGAAACTGAAAGCGGAAACTGAAAGCGGAAACTGAAAAGGGATAAAACGCTGAAATGAGGATAAAACGCTGAAATGGGTGTAAAACGCTGAAATGGGGGTAAAACGCTGATGTGGGGGTAAAACGCTGAAATGGGAGTAAAACGCTGAAATGGGGGTAAAACGCTGAAATGGGAGTAAAACGCTGAAATGGGGGTAAAACGCTGAAATGGGGATAAAACGCTGAAATGGGGGTAAAACGCTGAAATGGGAGTAAAACGCTGAAATGGGGGTAAAACGCTGAAATGGGGATAAAACGCTGAAATGGGGGTAAAACGCTGAAATGGGGGTAAAACGCTGAAATGGGAGTAAAACGCTGAAATGGGGGTAAAACGCTGAAATGGGGGTAAAACACTGAAATGAGGATCAGAACACTGAAATGGGGGTAAAACGCTGAAATGGGGATAAAACGCTGAAATGGGGATAAAACGCTGAAATGGGGATAAAACGCTGAAATGGGGAAATTTAATCGAATTCGTTGTTTGCTAGACCATTGCGAACGGCAATTGCTAGATAGTATACTTCAAAATAAGGTTTGCGTTTTTATAACGTAGAAAAAACTATCCTAACATAAAACTAAACCCTAACCCTAATACTAACCCTTACCCAGTAACCCTAACCTAACCCTAACCTAAAACCTAACCTAAACCCTAACCTAACCCCAACTTATTTTAAAAATTGATATAAAAACGGAAACCTTATTTTGAAGTATACTATCTAGCAATTGCCGTTCGCAATGGTCTAGCAAACAACGAATTCGATTAAATTTCCCCATTTCAGCGTTTTACCCCCATTTCAGTGTTTTACTCCCATTTCAGTGTTTTACCCCCATTTCAGCGTTTTACCCCCATTTCAGCGTTTTATCCCCATTTCAGCGTTTTATCCCCATTTCAGCGTTTTACCTCCATTTCAGCGTTTTACCCCCATTTCAGCGTTTTACCCCCATTTCAGCGTTTTACCCCCATTTCAGCGTTTTACCCCCATTTCAGCGTTTTACCCCCATGTCAGCGTTTTACCCCCATTTCAGCGTTTTACCCCCATTTCAGCGTTTTACCCCCATTTCAGCGTTTTACCCCCATTTCAGCGTTTTACCCCCATTTCAGTGTTTTACCCCCATTTCAGTTTCCGCTTTCAGTTTCCGCTTTCAGTTTCCGTTTCAGCGTTTTATCCCTACCCATATATGAACAATAATACAAAGCATTAGCGGGCCGCACAATATATTACTCGGAAAAATATAGAATTCTTCAAATATTAAATAGATATCAATACACATACAAATATAAAGCCGAATAAAATACTACCATTGGCATTGAATGTACAGTAATACTTGTACTATGTGCGACTGAAAGAGCAATGTTCTGAATATTTGAAGCTATTACTAAAATACGGTCAGATAGATTGGGATTTGGAATACCGAATACGTCTAAAATTTTACTAACTGTGGTCTAAATAAATGATAAATGAGCATGTATTTATTAATTTCTTCGAAATCACGAGTGTGCCAATAGTGGAAGCCATATCGACGACGAAATTGTCAGCAGTTTATACAGTAAATATAGTACAACGTTTAATGTACGATATCAATCTCGTACCCAGAGTATGCCCGTTCGCAGGTTAGTTGCTGGGCATGACTCTGGAGAAACGGGATAAAATTATCAATTTCATTGGCTGGCGTGAGATCAATAACACCGATACCGGAAATTGGTGTTCAAGTGCGGGAATTACACGTGGAAATTCACGAATACGACGTTAGTTAAGTTAATTGTTACATTTAATCTGATTGAGGATTTATACGTACGATCTGTAGACTTTTGTATCTTGTATTATGGCAAATACTTTTTGTTTGTTTATATATAAATTACCGATATGATGTAACAAAATATTTACTTCAATTCAATTGCGCTAGTGATCGCCAGTGTTGGGATTTTGGCTTGTTCTGGACCTGTGTTTGCCGTTTGGAAATAGCCAGCATTGAATTTTTGTGTGGATATAATACTCTACTTTTGAGTATACCATAATATTCTTGTAACTTTATAAATATATGAAAGTATTAAATTATGTGAGCTATGGATCTGTTACAAATACATCAAGGCCATATTATAGTAGTGGAATATTCGATGAAAGTAATAATTTTATCTCGAATTTTATAACAAACCTACTGTTAATTTAAGCCCTCCACACCTCTCAAATTGAGATTACAAGCTATAGTTTCTAGACTCCATGCCTGAAATAAATAAGCTGCTTGGCCAGCTTGGGGCTTAACAGAAAATAAACAGGACAGCAGTGTAGGGTGCAAACCACTCTCCCATTTCTGAAAGCCTTTGGATGATACAGCATCCATGAAAGCATAGGTTGGGAATAAAATAAGCTATAAATTGCCAGAATTTTGAGGTAAAATTTAAAGGACTGAGATTTAGAGCACCATAAGGTGTTCATGTTGTGGCAACCGAATGCCTTCCCACCAAAAGTATCTGCTACTGCAGTAAGAGCATACAATTTGATGTGCTGAAATTATATATGCTAACAATGTCAGTATGGCTACGACTAGTGGTGTAGTCCTGGAATGTTAACAAGGGGGCTCTCCAACAGGGGCAAAACTTCTGTATTATGGCTGGGGGAGGGGGGGGGTGAGGTTAACTTGTTTTGCCTGACCAAAAGGGTTGTTTCCAAAGTCATTCCTGAGGGACGAACATTTGATCAATCGCTAATTAATATTTCTTTTCCCAAAATTGTTGGTGAGCGGGGAGCATTTTTCACTACCACTTTTTCCTACCACTATTACTTTTCAATCTGAGACACTCAAATATTTTCAAAATTTGCCCGACTAAATTGTATGGGTATACCCGATGAGATAGAGACAGGGGGTGTCACCCCTCCACACACACCCCCAGGTAGTTTTGTCCCTTTTCTCCAAAATTGTCCTAAACTGGTGGAGGGGGGTGGCCTAAGTCCCCCAGAACCCCTCCCCTACTAGACCACTGGCTACGACAATGCCATAGTGGCAGCAGGTCATCCCACATGTATCTTACATTCCGCCTGCAACATTATATAGTTAACATACAGTACATATTTAATGGGAATAGTAGCTAGTTACCTTGACTTGGCCATATACCGGTTGCAGGCATACATCAGCACATGTAAGTTATGATTTATCTCCCAGGGATATGAAGCAATGTCAGGAGGTCAGGGTAATGTAGCTTACCCCATAACCCCAATAATGGCAGATTTCCCAATCAGTGCCCCCAGTATTCGGATAGGCAATTTAGCAACACCCTGCCTTGCCTGCCACCTTTCAGACAGGCACCCAACCTGATGACATCAGTCTGTGTTAATTGTTAAACCCATAGATAGGTCTCCTATATCTATGGTTAAACCCAATAGTTATGATAAATGATAATATTTATATCAGCAAAAACATTTCAAAGTTCAAACACTATGTCATAATTCCATTTAATTAAGTTATTTTCAAGCATAATTAATTGTCAACATAATTTTTTATGACTCAATTAATAAATAAATTAAATAGATATAACCATGGAACTGTTTGTATGAATGTAATGCAATGTACAATGCAGTGCCGTAGCCAGAACGATAATTGGGGGGGGGCACATATTCATATATTCGTGTTCACATACCATAAAAACAATTGATTTCAAAAGAAATTAATAAAGCAGAACACGAATATATGAATATGTGCCCCCCCCCCCAATTATCGTTCTGGCTACGGCACTGGCACAATGTTAAATCAAAGGACAAAGGAATGATATAGCTAGAGACCTAGAGTATTAACAGAGGGAAGTATTTTCATGCTTATTTTAAATATCAATACAATGCACCAATTAAAGTATCACTATGTGATTGTAATAAACAAAATAGGCTAACAGGTCCACAATTGCCCATAAAGCATTCTACATATTTTAATATTATAAAAACATCTAATAGTTTGTAATAATCTAGATCCTGTATAAAACCTCTGTCAGTGGCCTTCTTGCGAAGTCTCTCGATACCATTTCTTGACCGTATAAAATCCATAAAAATGATTGGTTTATATACACCGCATATATATTTACTCTGTAACTTTTAGCACAAGAAAATGAATCTTTTTCAATTGATTTCAATGTAAAAAGTATCAAATTTTCGACTGAATTCTACGATTTTATTTATAATTGCAACTAATGACGCCCGCGCGAATTCAGTGTTGCGGTTTGAGCGTGAGCATGCGCACAACTAACCGGATATCCAAAATTGGATATCCGGTATTCCGTTTCTCCAGAGTCATGCCCAGCACCTAACCTGCGAACGGGCATACTCTGGGTACGAGATTGGGGCAGTTGGGACTTGGGAGCAGCTTGGGAGTGGCTAATTTTGAATATTTACTTAATTAATGCATCTATAAATAGCGTTGATGCTTCAGGGGCGGTAGTTCATTTACACCCAGTTTTGCGGCAGGCGGTATTTCCTACGTACCGCCTGCCATGCAGGCTATGGTTGTAGCAAATTTCAAAGCTGTCAGTATCTCTGCCTCTCTGGCTGTATATAAAAAGTGTTCGGTTCTTTAACTTTTTTATTCAACTCGTCTCGTAATCTATTTCTGTCCCTGTAAATGGAAATTTTGCCGGAAAGGTCGGACATTAATTCTTGCGTGCAGCATGGATGCAACATATTTTTGTACATAATTGCAGTCAAAATACTACAACCTTCCCACTTCCGCTTTTGTAGTCTGTTGTCATTTACTATTTTGTTTTGACTTTTGCGTTATTGTAGCGGTTGCCGAATTATGGAGAAATATGGCGATAAAATTTAGTTGTTTTTTATTTTTGTAATATTTTAAATAATTGTAACAAAGGATGCATTTTTCGTTTGATTCACTGCATATGAACACATAAAAGTTTCGAAATTTAACTTATGTCGTCGTATTTCCCTATAATTTGTTAACCGCTACATAACAGAAATACTGCAGTAAGAGGCAGAGATTTTCAAAAATATAGTTTTTAAAAAAGTTTTAAAAGAGTTTTAAAAAGCAAAAAAGTTTAAAAAGTTAAATTTTTAAAAAAGTTTAAAAAATTTAAAACGGGGGTTAAAAAAGTTAAGAGTTAGGGATTACTGGTTAGGAGTTAGGGGATTATAGTGGTTAGGGGTTCGTGCCGCGAATTTATTATTATGATAAATTCAAAATTCAAATTTTATCGTAATGATAATTTCGGACGTGTTTAAGAATTTACTCATATAGTAAATTCAAAGGTGGAGCTCATGCTGAACTGCAACACTAGCTTGCCAGTTATTTTTGATAGCAGCTCCTATTTTTACTTGGTGCATGCTTGAGTCATGGAAAATAACTGTTCTTTTGCTGGCCTGGGGAATTTTGCATGCCGGAGAAAGCCGGGGAATACAGAAAGTTGCGCAAATTGGGTAGTGTAATGCAGACATTTAGCCAGTAGACAAATTTGGGTAACGTTGTTTACATCGTTGCTACCCAATTGACAGCTTTGGAGTAACTCACATGCCTAGTTACTATTATTCTAGTTTACAGAAGCATAGACTGAATAGAACAAAAGTAACTAAACATTAAACTTATTTATTATCACTTTATATTTACTGAGATCGAGGGAAACAGTGTGTTTTGTGGACTAGAGCATCTTATAGATAGTATATAAGTGTTAAAGTATGAATAATTCATCAGTCGATTATTTGAGTGAACTTAATTTGAAACCAAAACTGGATAAATGGAACGCCGTAAATAAAAATTAGTTTAAAAAATGAACTTTGCGCGGTTGACACACATGCGTATTGCACCCATTTTATTATTAACTGGTCAATAGATGTTTCATTGCGGACCGGATGCCGAACATGAGGTTTTGTGGACCGGCACGTGACACGGTTTTGACTAATCGGCAATTACCTCTGTTCTATTTTATGCTTTTGTAATCTGGCTAGTTCCTCGGGTAGAGGAGAACTGATCACGTGATCGATTAGTTGTGTTGTTTGTCGCGTCAGATATAACCCAATCCTATCTCTAAGCCTAATCCTTAATCTAACCCTTACCCTAACCCTTCCCTAACCCTAACCCTAACCCCAACACTAATCACTATAAATAACTGATGACGTAATCTGTGATGCAAATTCTTCTGCCTGAGGAAGTAGGCCATAGTGGCTAGGCATGTGTGTTACATAAAGTTGTGAATTGGGTATAAACAAACGTTACCCAAATTTGTCTAATCGAGCTAGACTTGATTCAGTACACGCATTTTCATAAAAATAGCAACCCTTCGGCTAAACTGGATTCTGATTATCATATTGAGCGACATCAAAATCATGGGAGTTTCTGCAAAGTGCATTAAACCGATATTACCTGTAGCACTATTTCACGACCTAAACATCGCAAAGAGACAGTTATGTAAGTTTTCTACTCACATTGGTCGTTCAGACATGCACCTCCCCCCGTGGGAGCGGCAGTCAAGGTCATAATCAGGAGATTATGGTATTGTGTCAATGTATTGACAATTAAGTTCTTATTATATTACCAATATATTATTTAATAACATTAAAAGATATCAGGGTCATAGACACCAGCAGAATCGTTGTAACTGTACTATTGTATATATATATTGAAAGTGTATAATTAGTGCAAGTGTAAGTTAAGTATAATGTAAAGCAATTCGAATTCAAGAATGTTCTGTACACGATCGCTTGTATATATTGTAATTATATTTTCACAAAATTGTATATATTCTTTTGAACAAGCTAAAAAAGTTTACTCAGGGGTAATAAATCAGCTTATTTTAACTCTTCAATTACTAGTGTCGCTGATCAGCGAACACGCGAATGTAAACAAACAGCTAAAAATAGACCCAATTTGGAGATTTATAACTTTTCAGAAAATTGCTTGCAGACGAGTTTTATTCCTGATTACTTAACTTTAGTAGGTATACTTTCAAATTACATGCCTTTTGAACTTCAGATAGGTGCCACTTTTGAGCTATTTTAAGTAAAATATGAGCAATTTTCAGCCTCTCGTCGCCATTTTGAAAACATAGTTTCGTAAAACTATTAAAAAATCGTATTATTAAAGCAAATAATGTTGTTCAATCTCCATGTAAACGAGAGTATTAGTGTTAATCTTGCATGTGAACAGTAACTGGAGGGGATAAACGCATCACAACGTTTTTAAAAAATCAGATGAATTCTTGTAAAATTCCCCTTCATTTCCGGTCTGAAAATATTCTCGCAAGGTCAAATTTTAACATGGCTATAACTCTTATAAAACAGAAAGTTGAAACGTTCTGAAAGAAGCTCGATTAATATTGACCAAAGTCTAGTTCATATGCAAAATATGAGCTAAATCTATTTTCCCCTCCCCAAACTGTAATGATATACTTCCGGTTTGAGACCCCCCCATGGGGCCTCGTGTTGTTGTTGTACTTATCTTGTAAGAATACAAAGCTCGAAGACTATTACATGGTGTCAGGAGTGCGATTTTTACTGAATATCGACCGTATAAGCTACAGTCATGGCTCTTAGCGGTATTGAACTTCCTGTGATGCAATGGGACGGCGAAAATCTCAAGGAAAATTGGCGACGTTTTAAACAACATGTCGAATTAATGTTCTCTGGACCGCTGAGATCAAAAAACGAAGCGGAGAAATGCAGCTACCTACTCATCTGGGTAGGGCAAAAAGGCAGGGATATATACAACACATGGTCGGATATCTCAGAAACAAACAGAGGTAAATTAAAAACATATTATGATCGATTCGAAAAGCATGTCAATCCGAAAGCAAACCCCGTCTTTGCCAGATATAAGTTTCATAACAAAATACAAGGCCCCACCGAGCCAGTAGAGGAATTCACAACAGAGTTACAACTCCTAGCCCAAGATTGTGAGTTCCACGACCAAAATGAAATGGTTAGAGACCGAATTGTGTTTGGGACAAATTCAAACAAAGTGAGGGAAAAACTTATAATGGAAGGGGCAGAACTCACGCTAGAAAAAGCTATACAAATCGCAAGAACCTATGAAAAACCCAAGCCCAACTCAAAAGCATGTCTCCTGAAAACAAGGAAGAAAGCATTCACTTAGTCAGACAGCAAAACCAAGGCAGTCAATCTCAAAGATCGAGACAATCACTTGACCAAAAGTACCCCCAGCAATCACTTGAACAAAAGTACCCCCAGCAAATAAGCCAGTGTGGGAACTGTGGGAGAAAACACTACAGATCAGAGAAATGTCCAGCAAAAGGGCAAACCTGTTACCTATGCAACAAGCCCAACCATTTTGCACAAGTATGTCGATCAAAAGGGAGGCGGAGCCAAATACACCCTATCGAGAAGGTAGAATGTGACCCCTCAATGACCCAATTTGAAACTCTAACTTTTGAATCAATCACTGTAGCTAATGTTAACCACCAAAATTTGAAGGCAGACGAAGTGTTTGCAGAGGTGGGCATCCACCTAAATCCAAAGCCCAAAGCAACAGTCAAGGCTTCCCTACAAACACACGCAAAGGCATCACTGAAAGCCAAAGTCGATACTGGTGCCCAAGGGAATATACTCCCCCTAAGATTATACCGGGCTATGTACCCCTGCGAAATTGATCTGAAGGGCAACCCCAAGAAAGGAGCTACAAAACATTCTAATACTATCCTCACAGCATATGGGGGATCCAAGTTACACCACCATGGCACCGTCACCATTGATTGCGAATTCAAAGGCAAAAGATCTGCTGCACAGTTCTATGTCACAGACACACAAGGCCCTGCTATCATTGGCCTACCAACGTTGATTGACCTCAACCTTGTGAAATTCAATTGTGCCATACTCAAACAAGTGTTACACAGCAACACACTATGGCCCACCACAAGAACCCCTGAGCAACCACCACTAACCACCAGAACCCCCGAACGACCACCAATACCCAAACCAATAAAGAGCAAAGAAGATTTGATAGATCAATACCCAAACTGTTTTAATGGCATAGGAAAATTCGAAGGAGAATACCACATAACCACCGACCCATCAGTCCCACCTGTTATCCACCCTCCGCGACGAGTTCCAATCAGTCTGAAAGATGACATTAAGAAAGAACTAGACGAGATGGTTGCAAATGGTATCATAACTAAAATAAACGAAGGAGAGCCCACAAGATGGGTAAACAGTCTTGTCTACAAGAGGAAACAGAATGGACGATTGCGTTTATGCCTAGACCCCAAAGACCTAAACACAGCTATCTTAAGAGAACATCACGCCATTCCTACCTTGGAAGAAATTTTACCAAAATTACACAAAGCAAAGTTCTTCTCAATAGTCGATGCAAAGTGTGGCTATTGGAATGTGGTACTTGATGAAGAATCAAGCTATTTAGCTACCTTTAACTCCCCATTTGGCAGGTACCGTTTCAAGCGTATGCCCTTTGGGCTGAACATGTCACAAGACATCTTCCAAGCAAAGATCGACCAAACATTCGAAGGATGTAGAGGCGTTGTGGGTATCGCAGATGATATTGTTATCTCTGGCACAACAGAAGAAGAACACGACCAAAATCTACGAAGCATGATGAGCCGGTGCCAAGACACAGGTCTGAGACTAAACCCTGACAAATGCCACATAAAGCAAGAGAAAATAAAGTTTTATGGGCTTATCTGCGGTCCAGAAGGAATTCAACCAGACCCTGACAAAGTGTCCGCCCTGAAGCAGATGGCCCCACCGACCAACAGCAAAGAACTACAGACATTCTTGGGTCTGGCCACCTATATGGCACCATTCATCCCGAATCTCAGTCACCACACTGCCTCACTGCGACAGCTACTCAAGAAGGAGAGCAAGTTTGCCTGGGACGCAAGCCAACAGGATGTGTTTGACAGGATCAAGAATTTAATTTCTGAAGAGGTTACACTAACATACTTCGACCCAGAGAAAGAGACAGTACTGCAAGTTGACGCATCAACAAAAGGCCTGGGAGCTACACTCTTGCAAGAAGACAAGCCAGTCGCCTTTGCCAGTAAAGCTTTAACTGACGTAGAATCACGATACGCAAACATCGAAAGAGAACTCTTAGCAGTTGTATACGGATGCGAGAAATTCCACACTTATCTCTACGGCCGCAGTTTTACAGTCCAATCTGATCATAAACCCCTTGAATCTATCCACCTTAAGCACCTTACATCAGCCCCACCCCGCCTGCAACGGATGTTGTTGCGCCTACAGCCGTACAGCCTTACAATCAAGTACCGTCAAGGAGCAGATATGGAAATCGCAGATGCCCTATCAAGACTTTCGCCCCAGGAAACAGAGCCCATCTCTGACATGGACGTCCAAATACACGAAATCTGTCCACAATTTAGTAGTGGGATTCTGCAGGAGATCCGCGTGGCAAGTGCAACAGATACGGAGCTTAAAGAATTAAATGATGTGGTTTACAATGGATGGCCAACGAACATAAAGCAGGTTCCAGAAATCCTCAAACCCTATTGGACCTTTCGTGATGAGATCACCACCGAAGATGGTATAGCAATGAAAGGCCAACGTATTATCATCCCCCATAGTATGCAGAGCATGATACTTACGAAGCTTCACGCAGGTCATCAAGGGTCCGAAAAAACTAAATTAAGAGCACGAACATCGGTTTACTGGAGAGGAATGAACAGTGACATTGAGAAGTCGTGCAAATCGTGCAATACATGTCAAGAAATGCAGAACAGTCAACCCAAAGAGCCACTTATCCAGACAGAGGTACCGCCAGGTCCATGGCATACCATCGGCACGGACTTATTTTACCTAGACGGAGCGGAATACCTATTGGTCGCTGACTACTACTCAAAATACCAGTTCGTGCGAGAGGTACCAAAAGGGAAGAGCAGCAGTAGGACAATCGCGAATTTAACGAAAGAAATTTTCAGCGAACAAGGAGTACCCAAAATCGTAAGATCCGATAATGGGCCCCATTTTGAAGGACAAGCATATAAAGAGTTCGCAAAGCAATATAATTTCCAACATACCACAAGCTCACCACACTACCCCAGAAGCAATGGGTTTATTGAGAGCCAAGTCAAGACTACGAAAAAGACAATGAAAAAAGCAAGAGCAACCAATACAGACCCACTCATGGCTTTGTTATGCTTACGGGCAACTCCAATCAACAGCACTCTTCCATCCCCAGCTGAGCTCTTATTTGGTAGACCAATCCAAGACAACCTGCCAAAGAAAATACCGAAAGGAAAAACAACTGAGGAGGTGACTAGCAGATTATTACAGCGGCAAGCTACGCAGAAATACTACCATGACAGAAATACAAAACCGCTCCAACCATTAAAACCTGGTCAAAGCATAAACATCCAAGACCCAAGGACACAAACCTGGAAACCCGCAGAGATAAAAGAGAAAATTCAAGAAGTACCCCGATCTTACATTATCACGAAACCAGGAGGAGGAGAAATCAGACGAAATCGAACACAGATACGAGAACGCCCACAAGATCCAATGGAACAAGCATATCAACAACCCTGTGAGAAAACACTAGACAACCCCGAAACCCCGTTCCCTAAGAGCACCCAAGAAAGCCACCAATACACAACGCGTAGCGGCAGAATAGTAGTACCCCCAACACGTTTAGATATGTAGAAAGAAATTGAACACAAGACGACAGTCTGTAAATGACTTGTTATTATATATATACAAAACATCTTATCTTATTGATATCTAAAAGAAACTATAGTACTATACTGAAACTCAAGGAACTATAAACTTTCATATTAATGTTAGGGAAAGGAGGATGTAATGATATACTTCCGGTTTGAGACCCCCCATGGGGCCTCGTGTTGTTGTTGTACTTATCTTGTAAGAATACAAAGCTCGAAGACTATTACACAAACCAGTGGGTGGATTTCACTGAGAGGCCCTCTTAAATGGCTTCCTGAATTTAGTCAATCAGATGTGTAAAAATTACTCGTTTCAATATTATGTTTATGCTCGAAACTGCTCATGTTTACAATAGCAATTCTAACAATCTTGCCCTCCTTTTCGCCTTTGAGGCGTTGGTGTTGATTTATACACAAAATTCAAAACTCAAAAATATTTACTGGTCTGGGTACATGTAAAACGAAGACCTAAAATCTAAATTCCCAAAAGCAGCTTTAATACGGTCAAATTTTCCGAAGTCTGATTTAGTTGTTTCAAAAGTATAGAATACACACACACTTCTGTATGGATTTCGTACATGTTCTACATGTCTTACAGTAAAAATACAAAAATTGTCCCACTTCCGCGGTTTGTTGTGATTTTAATACTGTAATTTGTTCTGTTTTTCTGTAGCGATTACCGATTTATCGGCAAATACCGCGATTTGAAAACTTACTTTTCTTTATTTATTTCATTCTACAGCATTTATAGTTCTACAGCTATCTTATACAGTTCTATAATATTGTGAATGATTCCGAATATTCAAAACGAATTGAAAGAATGAAAGCAGTAATGACTGATGTACTGTATAACGGTTTAAACTTAGCCGGCCGTACAGCTCACTGCCACCGGTCACTGAGCCGAAGGATAAACCGAAAATTCACTTTTCTCATCACAAGATTTAATGTTCAGTCGATCCGCTACATTGAAAGATGAGTATACTTGGCTATTTTTGGCAGGGGTAACGAAATATATCGGCTGTTCTCTACAGTAAGTGTTTCTTTATGTGTTGCCCATCGGAATATAATATAACTACATAGCTTGATAGATGTAAGATAACGAGTTTCACAATCCCATTTTAAATACTATGGCTTTTGGCAGCCTGGTTTTGCATCATATGTGTTTTTCAGTAAAAGCCCCATTTTCCTACTTCCCCAACGTGTAATACGCGAAAAAACTTTGTTAATAATAACAAAAATTTGTAATAGTAAACAGTGTATTTTATTATAAAGGATTTTCGTTTTTCTACTGCTCCGTACTTCGTGTGCTCCGTGCTCCGTGTGCTCCGTACTCCGTGTGCTCCGTGCTCCGTGTGCTCCGTGCTCCGTGTGCTCCGTGCTCCGTGTTTTACTAATAGCCCCCAGCATATGCTTTTGGATTTCGATGTGCATCATATATTGACAGCGAATAGTATTGATGATGAACATTCAGATGATGAACATTGGTTCTCAGATGAGTCTGAAGGTATATTGTTATTCAGTTATTTGTATGGTTTTATAAATTTTTGCTGAGTGTGATGCCTGTTTGCATCTAGTTGTGGGTGGTTGTTTAAATGTGGAAACTGTAATTTAATATTTTTTTTGAAATTTTCATCTAAATATTGCTGTTTGTATATTTTTTGTTAATTTTAGAGATGACAATGTATCTTTGATACATAATAATTTCCTTGTTATGATTTTGTAGAAAGAGATTTACTTGAGTGGTTGGCTGGTCTTGAACCTGTCCAAGATGTTTATGATAATGAAAGAGGTGATCAAGGTGATAGGGCAGAAAGAGATGACAAGTTAAGTGATGAAGACGAAAGTGATGGGGAGGAAGAAATCGCCCACTCTGTACCATTCAAGTGCATCGGTGCTGCTCATGAGAAAAACTACTGACATCATTTGGAAAATTAAGGCATAATACCTCGCTCTTCATGAACAAGATAAAACAGTGAATTCAATGTAAGAATACGGCCAGCACCATTGAATCCAAGGGACCCAAGTGCAATAGCCAATTCCAGCTTTTAGATTATGTGTGCAGGGGGTGATGGTATCATATTGCTGATAATGCTGAAAAATAGAAATGGTAGCCATGTAAACATGGAGTGATAGCTATTGTAAATATTGAAATATTTTGGTTGTTTAGGCAGTTTATTAAAAATTTTCAGCATAATCAGGAATATGATACCTTACTTCCCGTCACCCCCTCCATGCATAAATTAAAAGCTGGAATTGCCTATTGATCTAGACTATGGAACTGTATGGACACATGTTGTTTATATTGCTTCTGAACTATGCAAGTATTTGCACCCACTAATTGCTGCAGGAGATGTCCTGGATGTCTATGTTCTGTGTATCAAGTATAGGGTTGACTTTTTTAAAATAGGATTTTATCCAAAAATTTTCATAAAGACACCTGGTGAGTGGAGACTCGAGTAGTAGGAAAAAGCATGAGTGTATGTTGACATATGTTTTTTATATAATAAATAGCAACTACCATAGGTATGTTTAGCAAGTTATTAGTGCATTTATTTCAATTGGCTAACTTTTTAGTTTTTCCAGCATTTTTTAAACAAATCATAGGTTATGAATGATAACTGGGTATATCTAATTAAAACAATCTGTCATGTACACTCATGCAAATAAGACTAAGTATGTACATAAATAACTGTAAAAAATGTACTTTAGTAAATAAACTTATGAAAAATTAATTCATACACTTGACCTACTTTGTGAGTATTTTTTCAGATTAAAATTAATGCAACAATAAAACAAGAAGATGTCTATTTATATAATATTTATTAAATTGATCAGAGATCCCACTTCAGCTCAGAAAAAGATCCCACAATATAATAACATGCCACTTAATTTGTTATATGATACATAAAAACTTGTTTATTGTTTTAAAACAAGTGAAGCTCTCTGCTGGTTTGAAATGGACTGTTATGACACTGATTTGTCCTGGATTGTCCATGCTGAGGATTCCGCAGCTCGATTTGCCACAAAAACCCCAGTATCAGGAGATCAGCTCGTCTTGAAATACGTACACGATCCAGTCGCGTCGGCCAAAGACAACAAAACTGTGAAAATCGCACAGATATAAATTCTAAAAAAATATTAAAACAACTCCTAAGTCTTCTAAATAATATTTTAACACTTTAACAAAAATTCATTGAAAATATCATCTTTGATGGCGCATTTTCTTTCCAAGGTATTAGACGCCATTTTAGCGAACGTCGAGTTGACAATAGTCACTTCAATGGTCAATATCTCGAAAACTGCCGGGGGATCACCGGGATCATTCCAGCAGATTTAAAGATTATACTTTTGTCTTGACGACTACCAAAAATGAAAAAAATCGAACCATGGGAATTCTAGATATTTCATTTTAAACATTGTAAACATATTTAGACTCGAGTCAACACGTCGCGGGGAGTCGACTAACTTCAAACATCAAAATAACATTGAAAATAACGTTTACCTCAGAGATTTTTGCAGATATCACCAGATCTTTAGCAATAGTACTACTAAATTTGAAATTTTGCAAGAAAATTTTAATATTAATATTTTTTTTCGATTTATTTTCCGTCGAATGCAAATTTTTCTGTCCAAATTATGCAGATAGCACGATGGAAAATAGAGCGATCTCATTGGTCGAGAGCTCACGTGACAACTCGCTAATTGCTTGTCGTACCTCCTCTGGTCTAGGCTGGTCTAAGCCGAGAAAATCAATGTAAATCAACATGAATCTGTATCACCGCCTGCGCTCCTTCGCCCAGCGGCTACGCTCATGTTCCACGATCCGCCGGCCACTGATGTAAAGTGTAGTGAAATGTATCTCATCGTAATATTAAATCCTAAGAAAACTAAAGCCTCTGCGGAGGAGAGAGCGACACGCTTATGATTTTTCTTTGTGTTTTCTTCATGAATTATTAATGAGTTTTTTAACAATGTTTAAAAAACGACTCATCTTATGAGTTCATTGGCGAAGTAATTTTAAAAATAAACGTTGTCTAAGCCGAGAAAATCAATGTAAATCAACATGAATCTGTATCACATATACAGATACGACACGTACGCTTATGATTTTTCTTTGTGTTTTCTTCATGAATTATTAATGAGTTTTTAACATAGTTAATGAGTTATATTGTACTTTCATCGAGTCTCCAAACCATCTTGTGCTTACCATAAAAACATGGTAAGAAAACAATGTCCGGTGTTAGAACTAGCCAATCGGATGCCAGTTCGGAATATGGATTTGGCCAGAGCCCCTCGTCGCACCGCGCGTAAGAAGGGCTCTGGGTACGAGAATGACAAAAACCAAGTTATAGACATAGTGCATCCAAATTACACTAACAGAAAACCGGCTTGTTTATTTAATTGAGAGGATTTGTTATTCATTTATTAGACCAGGAGCAGTTGCGAAAAATGCAACTATCTGCCCTCTGCTGGCAGGAATCGAATCGGTCGGATTTTTTGTTAAAGTTTTGAGTCAGATTTCAAAAACGCGAAGGCAATGCAGCCATATTGGAACAAAGCACACAAATAGCTTATAGCTTTTTCCCTAGGTGGAAAACATGCCCTAAAATTGGCCCAGATAAAAATCAAGTTATAATGCATACACAAATTAAACTAACGGAAAACTGGCTTAATTTAAATATACTTTACGTCTTTAGTCGTGTCAGATTTCAAAAACACGAAGGCAGTGCAGTCATTCATAGTCTGTCAAGATATATGATGGTCAGGAAGTCCGGCAAACTTTAGAGCCTTTGTTTCATGTTGAACTGTACGTCACCGTGCACATTTCCTTTGTCTCAACTTTATTATACAGTACAGGGTGAGTAAAAAAAACCTGACACCTTTGTTATTCAAATTAGCCGCGAAGGTATCAGTTTTTTTTACTCACCCTGTATATTATTCATCGTAGTTACACGTTTCATCTCAGCTATCCCTATTGGACTTACTTAATTATACGAAAATACAATGAGCTCAATCACCGTGACCGATAATCAGTGGCGTAGCCAGACCTTCATTTTTGGGGGGGCGAAGCGAACACCGAAGGCGCGAGACCATCTATGGAGGTCCGGGGGCATGCACCCCCGTGAAAATTTTGAAATTTAGAGTCCCTGAAATGTGATTTCAAGCATTTTGGGGGTGAAATCTTGCAGAATTCCGAAGATTATAAAGTACGTCGAAGACATAAATTTTCCCAGACATTTCTAAGTTTCTACTCTTTTTTATATATGATACAGAATAAGTCTGAGAAGAATATTCATGTTATCATAATGCATATACATGTAAATCTAAACTAAATCTATTCCTCTTGGAACCATATCTACAACTGTTTTAACGAGATTTTAGAAATCAAATTCTTCCAGTATTTCGTCGTTTTCCTCAGTCGAGACGTACTTAATCCGTTTCAGCTTCGAGGATGTAACGTGTACCCCGCCGCCCCCCCCCCCCCATTTCTCTACGGATTTAGCCTTTTTCAGAGAATAGTTTTTTTGCGATTGGGGGGGCGACCGCCCCCCCTTGCCCCCCCTTGGCTACGCCCCTGCCGATAATACAATGACTTCTGTTTAGTTTCCAGACCATATATCTAAATAGCCTATGCCTATGGTCATATTGAGCATATTATATTCGGTCATGAAACAAAGCACAGCCACAGAAAAGTTTTATCTTTTCCCTAGGTGGAAAACATTAGTTAAGCATACTTTTTTAGCATGTTCAAAAGGCAATCGAATGACTAACTAAATTATGTAAAAAAAACTTAACATAGCAAAAAAGCCAGAAAAAGTCGGTCTTTTTATCTCATTCATTGTGAAGCTTTGAATCTTAGAAAAATTTCATGTTGTTAAATTCAAATTAACGCCCTAGGGTTATTCAACTTTCCTTAGTGTTATTCAACTTTCCCTAGGGTTTATATAGGCAGCACTTGGTTTCAGTTCTGATGCCCTGCGTAGAATAACAAATTCTGATGAAACTAACATGCAAAATATTTGATAATTCCTTCATTCTATTAAAAACAGGTGGGATTTTACTCAATTAAACAATGCATGTAAAATTATTTAATAAAAAATATATTTCTTTCAAAATTGTGCACAGAAAACAAATGTTTAACGAAATTTCGTCTTATGATATCAAAAAACACTTTTTAGTGCCACCACGATTTTGCCTTTCCTCTTGTTTTTCTCGCAAAACCCCCGCTATTTCTAGACTCCCGCGGTGAATCGCACATGGATCAGCGCAATATTGATTTTAAACACCCTTTCGGTAATTACGTCATTTGGCCCAGGAGCCTCGCTCTCATGAATCGTGAGCTAATCACATTGCGTAATTTACTAATGAGAGCGACGCTCCAAGACCAAAAAGTATGTGTGACGTAATTATCGAAAGGGTGTATTGGCTGATTTAATTTTCCCCAAATTACAATAGTAGTGCCAAGCAACATTGCGCCCAAAAATCAAATTAGCATGCAGGTAAATGCAGGTAGAAATAAAATTAGTGACGTAATATCATAGTCACCTAGAAAAATCTTTTGTCTTACGAGGTACGATTAACGTCGCATTTACCTCAAGCTGAGTAAACAGGTACGATTAGTAACTAATCGTACCTCATGTTTAGTAATGAGGTAAGATTAGTTACTAATCGTACCTCATTACCTCTGATTGGAGAGCTGTACCTCATCGAAAATCATCGGCACAACTATGGACAGTATCTGACGACACCGTCCCGTACACATTCGAACAATCACTTTGCCAGCTTTTATTCCCTAATCTTGAACATTACAATTGTGGGAGAAAATTCCGTTTAGGCGCATGCCTAAAACGAATGAACACGGAGATGTGTTTCTGCGCGTGCGTATATATGAAAAGTGTTCGTACCACAATCATAAGACAATCAAACAGCATCCAAAACAGGCAACACACCACGCGCGATTCCCTCGGCAACTATGATATTACAAAGTAATAGATGGCATCATGGTCGATTAGTGATGAAATGTCCCTCAAGCCTCGAGAGGTTTAGTAAAAGTCCCTCGGCGCTACGCGCCTCGGGACTTTTACTAAACCTCTCTCGGCTTTCGGGTACATTTAATCACTAATCGACCTGAATGCCATGCTATTACTTATAATAATAGTCAAGCCATAGTAACGTTATAATGGGAATCCCGAAACATCGAGTTGGATTCGAGTTCGAGTTCGAGTTGGACTTCGAGTTAGACTTCGCGTTATTTATATACCGGCATTTCCGAATGTTCCGGTAATTTCCGAACAACTCCGATTCTTGTTTACTTCTTCGAAACTCGTGTTTATAGTATACATGGGAATCCCGAAACATCGAGTTGGATTCGAGTTCGAGTTACTCATACACTGGCGTTTCCGAATGTTCTGGTAATTTCCGAACAACTCCGATTCATGTTTACTTCTTCGCAACTTCAAACACGTGTTATTACGTTTATAAATATGGAGAATGAAACGTAGCAATGTAAATTTACTTTATTATAAATCGTTTTTATAATGCACTTTGTTGTACATCTTAATATACAGTAATTACTATGTGTATTTTAGAAAAGAATATATTAAAAATTGTACATTTTAAGTATTGTTTCGTTCAAAATATGCATTCGAAACTATCAGTACTATTCTGCATTTCCTCACACGTGGTATTAGGGATTAGTATCCTTAATTGTCAAATTTGCTAAAGATTAAGGATATATATTTTGACCACACCCAACCCCCGCTCTAACCTCCAACCCTAACCCTGGTTTAATCTTAATCTGGCTCTAATCTAATCCCAATCTAAAAATGATTACCTTTTTTTAATATTCCCGCCCCTGCGCGTCCAGTCTCCCTAATACTACAATTTTATACAATTTTATTGTTAAATATCCATCTTTGGCATATAGAAATACAATGGATTTACAAGTTAAAAATATATACTAAAATACATGTATAACCTATGAGAATGTAAAAATTAGAAAGTTTAAGAAGTTTTTATATACATATGTACAATGATCTAATTTCATGAGTTGGTTAATCTACACGCCCTTGGGATAAAAGACGTACTATGCCTGTGTGTTTTTGAGAGCTGTCTTGGAGTGCTGTCTCTGGTCCTTCTCAGTTCGTAAGTGTGATTCTTATTACCAGATAGGAAACGATTACATGGGTTTTTTGGGACTTCCACGATCCTTTTCAGCTCGTTGCATGTTGCCTTGTCCCTTCTTTCTTTTAGTGTAGGGAGGGTATCTTTCTCAAGTCCTAGGATTCTCAAGCTTCTTTGTTGAACACGTTCAATTTCTGCTTCAAGATATTTAGGGATTCCGCCCCAAACTGGAGAGGCGTATTCAAGTATTGGCCGGATCTTCGACGTATATGTTAATAAACCAATCTCGGGTGGTAGGAAGGATTTCCTGCACTCTCTGAGAAGGAATAATAGCTTATTTGCTCTTTTTGTTATTTTACAAACATGGGTATTCCACTTTAAGTCATTTTGCAACCATACACCGAGAAGTTTGAAGGAGTTTACTCTTTCTATTTCAATTCCATCCGTTTGTATAGGTGGGGGTTCAGAAGAGGATTGGGAAAAACTGATCCTTAGTTTTTTTGGGGTTCACCATCATTTTATTATCATTGGCCCAATTCATCACTTGATTAGTCGATTCCTGCATATTTGAAAGGGCTCCGTTTGCAACGACCTCATCAAGAGTGCAGTCGTCTGCATACTTGTGCGTGTTTGTAAGGTTGTTTGTTAACGTGTTTTCCAAATCATTGATATGAATATTGAACAGTGTTGGAGAAATAACGGAGCCTTGCGGGACTCCAGCTGGACAGGGGGCGCTTGAAGATATAACACCATGTAAATTCACATGTTGAGTCCGCTCTGTAAGGAAACACTTCACCCATGACCAGAAGGCCTTCGATACATTCATTTCCGCTAATTTTATTAATAGAATTCTATGGTCGACAAGGTCGAATGCTTTTTTGAAGTCCAAGAACGTAGTATGGACCCCTTTTCTTCCAATATTGGAGTTATCTGTTACGTCAAACCACTTCTGGGTCATCGAGATCAGGGCTGAAACAGTAGATCGATTTTTAACGAAAGCATGTTGGTTGTCCTTTATTGCCAGATCATGAGAGTTGAGTTCCAACTGGATTTTCTCTATCATTTTAGCTAGATGAGGAAGCACAGAAATTTGCCTGAAATCGTTGTTTATATCTTTGGGTTGATGTATCTTTGGTACCGGAGTTACAATTGCATGCTTGTACGCAGTAGGATACTTGGATTGGGTAATGCTGCCTATTACGATACTATGTATCACTGGCGTAAGATCATCACAGTAGTGCTTTAAAAACCAGGCAGGGATTTTATCTATCCCTGTTGCTTTCTTTGGGTTAAGGTGCTTTAGGCAGGACCGTACTTGCCCTAAGGAAGGTAGCGGTGGTGACGTATCCTTAAGTAAGTGGTTAACTTCATTTATGTCCGGGAGGTCAACATTGATATCTTTCCATGGGTTTGTAAAAGCAGTTTGTAGGTTTTCAGCAACCTTAGACAGATCTTCATTAGATGGAGTTTGTAAAGAGTTATGATTCGTTTCAGCACCCAACAGAGTATAGACAGTTTTATACCATTTTGCAGGATCTTTTTGACGAAGATCTCTCCCTTCGGTGTGATAAAACGATTGTTTTGCATTCCGAATTAACTTGGAGACCTTTTTACATAATTGGTCGTACTTGGGTTTATCACCGCGGCAGTAAGCCTTTTGCCTAGCTTTAATCTGTGCCTTTATTTTTGGGGTAATCAATCAATCAATCAATCAATCAATCAATCAATCTGTTTAATTAAAACCAATTTGCAGTTTTTAAAGGAAAACTGAATTACATGGAGTACTAATATAGCATAAAAATTTATATTAAAATGTAGACATATATATATTATATAAAATAATTTTTATTTAGTTAGGACTGTTAATTAACTATAAAGCTAATAATATTTCCTAGTCACGAAGTTTTTTAACCGTTCAGTGGTTTCTGACCATAAAGGTTGTTCGGCCGTTCTGTCATTCCTTAAGTCATAATCATGAGTTTTTACCCCGGGACGAATTTCCATAATTTGGGTCAAAGGGTTGTAGGGTGAAACATCACGTCGCAGAGATTCGACGAATTTCTTGCAAGGGATGTCTCTACGAGTACTCAGATACTGTAAGTTTGAAATTTCAAGGGCTTCATCATATAACAGATCTGGATAAGCTATTCTCAATGCTCTCTTTTGAACAGATTCGAGAATGTCAGATAATGATTTAGGTATTGACGACCATACAGGGGATGCATATTCAATTCTGGATCTGATGAATGAGATGTATATTTGGACGATGTGAGATGCTTGAAGACCAGCCTTTTTTAACAGACGCAATGCGTATAAGCGAGAATTTGCCTTTTTCAATACCATGTCGACATGAGTATTCCATGACAAGTCGTTTGATATCCATACACCTAGGAGTTTGAAAGAGGACACAGTTTCCACCGGTTTACCAGCAACATAGATCGAGTTTTCATCATCAGATCCTTTATATTTAAGAAAGTTGATCAACATTTGTTTGCATTTCTTATAATTTAGTTCCATTCCGCGTTCTAAGGCGTAGTCCGAGATTTCATTTACGACTAATGGCATTAAACTGGATGAAAAACGTGGTATAATCTCTAGGGCTGAGGTGTCATCCACAAACTTGATCCTACTGGGCCAGTTTTGAGTAAGGAATTAATGAGAACAGCAAACAATAATGGACCCAACTTTGTACCTTGTGGCAAGCCACCATTTGTTTTCTTCCAAGAGGACATAGAAGTTCCCACCCGGACACATTGTTCGCGATCGCAGAGGAAGGCTTTAATCCACCGAATTATAGAGGGATGGGTACCAAGCAGGGTTAACTCTTTAATAATAACATTGTGGTCTACTAGGTCAAAACCTTTCTTGAAATCTGCAAAGAACAATCTGGCAGTACAGGAACCTCTCTCAAAAGCAACCAAGATTGAATGTAAAAGGTACACCAAAGCGTGGGTCGTTGATTTCTTTGGGAGTGCAAATTGTTTGGTGTCAAGTTTATTTACAACTTCAGGAAAAAAATTGTCCAAAGTACAATCCTCCATAACTTTGGCGATCTGAGATGTTAAAGATATTGGTAGTAGGTCGTCTTCAATACT